GAGTTAAAGGTAAATAACCAAGACATCTGGAAGAGGCATGGCACGTGGAACTAGAACAATCTACCCTGATGGATGAAATAAATGGTTTGATTGAAAATTCCAATCACCTGAAAAAGGCTGGAGCATACAATGCCTGAAACATTGTGAATATGGCAATGAAAATGAGGATAACAGTGCAAATAATGTATGCTTGAGTCTTACTCTACAAGATTTCCCAGTAACTTCTGAAGCTAAAGTACATGATTTAATCCCACAAATACATCTTGTCATATTTTATATCAGTATTAAAATGACTTAATTAAAAAATAAAAAACAAACACAAAAAAAAAAAAAAAAAAAAAAAATTTTTTTAAATTCGACCTTCATTAAACCACTTAAGACAATTCAGGCTGTGTGAATTCAGTTTCTTTAGTTACATTATTTTAGAATACAGATTCTGGAGTATATCACAAGAATAAATATCCCAGTCTATTATTTAACAATGGAGATATTTTTTTGAATTGGCAAACCATAAATTTCATGACAATCATTGATTGCAGAATTTTTTTTATTATTATTTAAGCTTCCAGACATGCACAAAACCATCTGATAATTAGATAAGAGGGAAAGGTAATTTTTCTGCTAAGAAAAAAAAAAAAAAAAAATCAGCAACATTTAAGAAAAAAAAAGTACAAAAAAGATTACAATTTCAAAATCAAATTTTGCCAAACCAAATGGAAAAGTTTATTTTTACTTTTTAAACACCTGCAGTTGGTGCATTGCTTTAACTTGGCTATTATAAACTGAAATTAAATAAATTTTTTTCAATGTCTATGAAAATGAAAGGATATTCTTGTTTTGTGCTAAAATGATGTGAATGTAAATAATCTATCAAAAATTAAATATTTCTAATTAAATGTGCTAGAACAAATTAAACAATAACAGATGAGTTGCAAATAGTTTAAATCTTTTCCAAAGCAATATATTCAATTCAGTATTTACTACCAAGAAATGGGAAGATATTTACAAATTTTATTTTTTCCTTCACCTAGATTGACACTTCAATGGGAGGGAGGGGCACAGTTTTTGTTGTATAAGGGCTAAATTGCAATATATGTTGAATTAGGTACTTTGATGAGATCGCTAAAAGAAAAAAAAAAAAAAAAAAATAGCATAGCATGATGAAAAAGATGCCAAACTTGACAAAAACAAAATTTTACTGCCAAAATGTTTATAATATTAAGAAAGAATTTTTTTTCATATTTTTTTCTTAGGACATTTTAACTTTTGATTAAAAAAAAAATTCTGAGCTTTTTTTTTTTGTATGACACATTAATTTGGGAAATCTTGCAAAAAAAAAAAAATTGTCAAATTTTAATGAAACTTTCAAAACTATTCATAAATGATGGAAATTATTATAATATTTTCTTTTCTTTAAAGTCATGGCACAAATATATTTTTTTATTTTTTTACCCAAAACTAATTTTATGAAAACTAGAAATTCATTACATTACCATACAATTTAGTGATTATATTAGTTAAAAAAACAAGGCTTTGAGGAAAGCAAGCATTTTTTTTTTTTAAATCAGGCCATCTCTACCTGAAAATCAATAGTTGAATTGTAACATACAAAACTCAATAAAACAAAGATATTATTTAATTTCAAATGCTTTTTTAGTTGTTTTTATGAATATGGATAATATTGTCTGAAAGCAAAAAAACTTTTTTTATGAAAAAATGAATTTTTAAAACAATTATTTATTTCTTAAATTATTTTATTATTTTTACGTTAAAGTTGTTAAATATTCTAAAATTAGAGAAAATGGTGTACAGTTTAGTCAATGGTGTTATTAAGTAGATCTATATCTTATAAATTGTAAAGCTTATTACAATCAACAGACCACCAATGTATTAAAAATCCAATTTTGCATGAATGTGTCCATAAAACAGCTGTAATTCAAATGTAGAGAAGACCATACATGAAAACAATAAATGTCATGTTATTTGAGTTCAGCACTGTTCCCCTCTATTATGACCTTTATTTTTTGCAAATTATTCGTACAAAACATGCGTGAAGAAGTGAATTTGATTTTTCAATTTCAACTGAGAATGGTACCTATCTTATGAAATTTATGATCTTATTTTTTTTATTATCTCAGTTATGACATTTTTCCATAAATGAAATATCAAAATTAATAATAAAATGAATGGAAATACAAACAACACAGTAAAATGTAATAAAATACATAAAATATTTTTTTTTGTATTCTTCTGATAAAATTTTCATGTACATTTATGCACATTTCTGATAAAATTTTATCTCAATTTCTACAGTCTTATTTTTTTATAATATTTTCCATAAAGCATCATAAACATAAAGGTGAAAATTTAAGTACAAAAAAAAAAAAAAAAAAAAAATTACAGTGCTGAAAGTTTTCCTTAAAAATAACAAAGGTAAATAATTGGTTCAAAATTTAAATCTAATTATGTCACTTCTGTCCTTCCATACAATAACTTTCCTTCACGTAAGATGTCAATACGTGATGAAATCACTCATCACTTGTCAACCGACACCAAATGCTAAGACCTGCTTTGTCTTATTTTTAAACTACATATTTTTGGTGCAGAATAATGTTGGTGTCAAAATATTTTAAATAAACTTTATAATTTCTAATTTTAAAAAAAATAAATTTTGAAAAACTTATAACTGATTTTTAAAAGAATTTTAAACAGATTTTCATTTTTGTTTAGGAAATGGTTGACATGATCGATTTTCTGTCAATTTTGCCGACTCAAAAAACAAAAAAGATTTTTAACAAAAATTTCAGATGTGATAGGAATGATTAAAAAATGTAAAAAAAAAAAAATACCCCAAAAATACTTTGATCTTTCCTCTTGGTAATAAACATTTAGACAGTAAAAAATTATTTTCATCATATTTAAGGCCCTCTTCATCATAGCAAATTTTTTTGAGGTACCTATGTTGAATTGATATTGTTTTACCAGCTGTTGACTTCCAAAGTTCAAATAAAATTTTGTTGCTTTCCACACCACCTGTTAAACAGAAACATCTGTCGCTAATAATTTGATCTAAAGGCATTGTTGATTTTACTGCTCTAAAACATTTTCGTAAGCAAACACCGAATTGTATTTTTCATTTTGTGAGTCCTAATTTTGGATTTTAAAATAAATCATGCTTCAGTTATAAGAGAATATGAGGCTAGTTAAAAAAATGTGGGGGACTTAATTCAGTATTTACTTTGCAAAAATTGATTGAGAGCTAAAAATCAACAATACCATAAATTCGGTGCTTAAAAAGATAACCTAAAAAGTTGATCTAAAAACCAAATGAAAACAATTTTACATTTGCATTACTCTTCTTCAGCATAACTTGAAAATAGCGCTTGTTAATTTTAACTTAATAATCGCTCCTCTATCGGGAAGCTCAAATTTTAGGTGATGTGGGTTTTTTGTTTTTTTTTTAACTGATTTCTTATTTCTGAACTGTTAAATTACGTTAAAAGGATTAAAAAAAAAAAAAAATGTGGAATAAAAAAAAAAGAAAAAAAAAAAAAAAGTACTTCATCGCGTAATCTTTAAAATATTAACAACTTAAAACTAAAAATTGAGACTAATTTTTAGCTAAATCATGTAAAAAAAAAAAAAAAAAAAAAACCCCCAAACAAGGCACCAAGAATTTTTAACAGATTTTGAAAGTGAATAGTTTCAAATTATGTGCGTTATACAAAAAAAATTTTAACACAAAAAAAAGCTTCCGAGAAGGGACCTACATTATTTTGTTGAATGCACATCAATAATGTTCAAAAACAAAAATATTTCATTACCATTCTTCAGTTTTACACTCATATCTAAAATCTGCGCTAAGACAGTCACTTTAAAAATTTTTTTTTTTAAATTCAGAAGTCTTTATTTAAGAATTTAGTACATCAATAAAATTAAACTACAAATTCAAAGTATAGCAAACTTATTGCAAAATTCGTAAAGTAAAATAAATCTTTAAAAAAAAAAAAAAAGCTAAAAAGAAAAAACAACCCTAAATCAATCATTACTAATAAAACATAATGCTATTAAAATAAAAATCATCAGTGTTTTATGAAAAGAAATATTTTCAATACAAGCAAAATAAATTCGTTTATAAAAATTAAGATTAACATCTGAATTTAAAATTTATCTAGAAAGAACATTAAAAAAAATGACTCTCATTTCTAGGTAAAATTTTTAATTATTTCTGTAATTAAATATATAAAATTAAAAACAAAAAACAACTCAATTTTTTAAAAGCGAGGTGAAAATTGCTATATTAGCAAGAAAACAAATATTTCTAGTAGAGCAATGATAAGTAAAAAAAAAAAAAAAAATAGTAGCTACTAAAACGAGGACTTAAAATAACCAAATGTAGGGAAGATGGAGGAGTTCATAGCAGAAGTATGAAACAAGTCGAGTCGAGATTTCAATATATTTAACTTAAGCAGAACTAAACTATGGACATATATTTATAAAAGTATTTTTTTTAATGTGGTAATTTATACAGGATGTATATTCTTAAATAAAAGAAGTCAATTTGTGTGACGTGTGGAAATCAGAAAGAAACGTAAAAAGCCGTAGCCATGGCCAGCGTGTCCCTAAAGACATGGGGGTGGTCATGAAATGAGGGATCAACATATTTTTTTTTCATTAACCTTTAATTCAGTCGATATTTTAACCAACTTAGTACAATTAAATAGTAGTATGGGTAAAATCTGTTGAGGGTAGAATCTATACATTAGGAGTATTTTCTGATAAAATTTAACCTTGGCTTTATCAGTGAATAAATGCGCAACTGATAACCCACTTAATGGCCACGCTGAATCTGGTAAAGGGGATGTAAACGCATATACAAAAGCGAATTTTTTAAAAAGATTGTTTTACAAATAAGGGATAAAATAAAACGAATTATAGAAAAATAAAACAAAAATTTTGAAAAAATGATCGTAAACATTCTTTTTCATAAAAAAACTTACCAATTACTTCATTAATTCTGTTTTAAAAAGAAGAAAAATCTTTAACAACCAAACGAACAACCACTCGTAAAAATGGCGTAGAGACTAATACCGGGGAGCAGTTCGAATTTGAAAATTGGTCATTTGTTAATTTTCATTAAAGATTGTTATATTCCTTATTTCTTATCTTCTCCGAGATATTTCTAAAAAAAAAATAATTGTATCTAATTAACTTATACACGGATAAAATCTGAATGTATGATAAAATACAATATCTCGTTTTCTGCGTGTGTAAAAAAAAATAGGAACGCTCCCCAGACGGAAGAAAATTTTCTTTTTCGAAAGTGATGAAAAAAAATGTCGTTTTTTTCTTTTAATATTATATTTAATGCTTTCATTTAATCATATCTACTATTTCATAATCGAAAGATATCTCTCTCCAAATATTATTTTAAACTGTAATATAACTGTTATTAAATCAATCATTTATCAAGACCTTTGTTTTTATTTTATTTTTTAGTACTTTTTAGTTTTATTGATGGTCCGATTATAAAAAAAAGAAGAAAAATACAATTCTAATCCGCTTGTTCAAAACAAAGCTGCTCGATAAATAGCAATTGCCACCTCTTTTTTAAATTTTAAATTAATCTCTTGTATATGTAGTACACGAAATTAATTCAATAAATTTCAGTTTTGAATGGACATCAAAAATTTTTAAAATGAACCTTTATTTTGCTATAATTATTGTTTTTTAGCAATACACACTTTGTATAGATATAAAAAATAACTTTTTGACCAAATCGTGTATTAAATAGGAATATTTAGGGTATTAGTTAAAGTTCTGTTCAGAGATCATGTCTGCCTCCATTTTTTAAATTAAGATTTAGACTTCAGTTATTTATGTTTTTTTTGGTATCCAATATATTGTAGAAACTTGAAGATTAAATTTCTACAATGTACTGGATACTGAATTTTTTAAAAAGTTTTTACTGTCACAATAATTGTGTATTAAGTTTTGGATTTTCATGGTAATTTCACTGTATTACACTCTTTCCTGCTAGTGAAGAAAATTAATAATCATAATAGAGAATTTCTATTAAGATTGCCTCCACAAGTTATCCAAGGCTACAAATATTGAGGTTGTATGGAAAAAAAACTTCCTTGTAGTAGTCAGGCCATGTTGTGAGAATGCAGAATTATTATCTTCCTGTTTAAAGAACTACTCTTGTCAGTAGGGAAAGGTGAACCCCACAGAAAAGATATAAAGAAACCTAAAAAAAAACAAAAACTGTGGAATCAATAATTCTCAGTGGGGAACATGTTGCTACACTAGGAAAAAGTTGTCCTGGTTATGACAATGGACTATATCCAGCAGCAAGGCTGGGAAGTTTTGAGAAGCATGGAATCACCTCTTAATTGCTGTTGCTTCCAGGTCCACCCTGACCTAGTATGTTGGCACCTGTTAGGGTCCTAGCTATGGGCAAAATAGTGAACCCCCAAACTGGGGTCATAATATAAAAATACATTAGAAAAAATGACCAACAATACATTTTCATAGTAAAAAATAAATAAAAAAATTACCAGCAATACATTTTTGGAAAAAAAGATTACCAAAGCTCACAAGAAAGTAACATTTCTGCATTAAATGACACATAAGGAGTTAATATGCTTTAAACAAACAAATTATGACAAAGCAAGGCTCAATTGCCCTTACAGAGGAAAGCACAACTCTTAAGATCTTTCAAAGCTTTTATCTACTAACTTTATTTCCATCCTTGAAACATAAACAAAGTAATTTATTTGGAATTAATAGATTTTTATTTATAATCCAACATTATTTCTTAGTACTATATATATGTGTTTGATTAGACATTTCGATTTTTTTTTAACAGTATAATTTTCATCTACCAATACATCATGGTTTGGATGTCCATTGCAGGCCAGTGAAGTCTGTATGGAAGAGATAGAACTTCTCATATCAGCTGAAGTGGATGCTCTTGTAGCCAGAGGAAGTATCTTTCATGTGGTGTCACCTTTTCTGATCTTGTTTAGTTGTTTGCTTTGGCAAAGGAGGTTACCTGGTATACCTTCCTCTGTCATGATGTATTTCATGGCTGAGTGGTCTGAAAGCATGCTAGGCAATGTAGTGGTTTCCCCTACACAAAGGAAATGCAGATTTTAACCTTGCTGAAGACTCTAAAAAAATTAAAGCTAGTAGATGAAAATTATTCTGTTTAAAAAACAGAGGTGACTACTCAAGCACATGAATCTACTAAATATATCATTATATATATATAAGAAATATAGTTTTAAGGTATGCTATATTTATGGGATAAAGTGCTTGATATCAGAGATAGAGTGTATGTAAATATAAAAGTGAACATTGAAATCAACACTCAGAGGTGACAGACTGTTTCATGCTAAACACAATTGTCATGGTACCTGTGGATTGACAATTGCATTTAGCATGAAACAGTCTGCTGCCTCTGAGTATTGATATATATATATATATATATATATATATATATATTATGGAGGAAAACGGAAAGCATCAACACAGCCAAAGACTAAATGACGAAAAATAGTTTGCACATTGTTCCAATTAAAAAATTAATACTTTGAAAATAATTATTTAACATTTTTCACCCAACTGGTCGCATTCCCACCAACAATAAAAAACATGCCTTGTGATCCCTTCGAAGGATATTTAAGCAAAGTTTCCAAATAGACAAACCAGAAGGAGAGCCAACCAGCAACAAACAGCAATAGGTGACAGTGCTTGGTTTAAATGAAATTTCCTTATGCATTCACCCATCTCCCTCACCAAGCTATGAGACACTTACACTTTCCTCCTCACTTTCTCTCTTGCCTCTTCTTTTTCACACATACACATGAAGAAATGACATTTCTTTTCATCTTGGAAATCAACTACCAGAAAAGGACTGTATATTTTTATATTTAAACACCTTTTTACCTTTTACTGTGTTGTTACTGATTCAAATCTGCAAAAAAATTGGTGCCCAACTGATGTGAGAAACAAGCACACACACCATAACAATCAGTAACAAAAAAATTTGTTGCCATGAAGGTGAGAGCAAATACAACTACAAATTCAACTACTAACTTGTAGAGTTTATACTGACTTTCAATTTGCTAGTATACAAACCCACTAACATACAAATATGGTTTTCACATCTTCATGTAATTTTCAGTGCTAAGAAAGTTATGTCAAAGTGATCTTGATATGCCTATGTTGGAGAATTGAAAGAAATGCCAGAGAAAGCACTCTGCAACACTTTAAAAAAATGCCATCATCTATCACACAAGCAAATCAAATGAAAGAAAACTGCATGATCTTTTCAAAAGCCTCAATCTTGGTAACATTAAACCATCCCAACTTCTGAGAAAGATGAGATCACTGCTGGGTAACAACATGATGTCAGACATAGTGCTAAAAAGAATATGGACAGACATAGTTCATACCCATACAACACAAATTTTAGTATCACTTCCCAAATAGCTAAACCCTGGTCACTTAGCAGAAATCACTGATAAGATCTATGACAACAACAATCAAGATAATAACTTATACTATACAAGTAAACCACCACCAGGTAAACAGAATAGATTATCTCAGATAGAAGAGAGCTGACATTTCAACTCCAAAGCCTGGTGAAGCAAAAATGTCAGCCATTTTTCGCTCATATTCTCATACTGAAAAATGTTTTAGCCACAATGTTGAGTAGCTGAAATAAGTACCAAGCAATGGCGTAGCTGGGGGGGGGGATGAACGCCCCGGGTGCCAGCACAGGAGGGGTGACACAATGTCACCCCCAACTAAATTTTTCAGCCAGGCTAAGGTGCCAAAAATAGTCTGAAAACAGTGGTGGAGACACAGGGTTTCGCAGGCTGGCATATGACCCCCTAGAAATAATTTATGACCCCCCAGTTTTGTCCCCCCGTCAGAAATTTTCTAATAAATTGTCAGGAAATTTGTGAGTAGGAAAAATAGCAATGTTTTCAGCTTTTGATTTGAACTGATTATTTTGTTGTATTGGATTTTGTCTTGGATCATACATATAAACAGTAATGTACTGGTCAGTAGAGTAAAGTAGAGGTAGAGCATGTATGAAAATTTAGCTACAGCTAACCATTCAGCATAGGGTGAATCGGGGTCATTGGGGTGACATTTGAGCGGACTGCCCCGGGTGACATTTACTCTAGCTATGCCACTGGTGCCAAGAGTGACGTTACTATGATATATACTGGTATCACTATAAATTTGTAGAAGATGCACAAAAGTTCAGTGAGCCATGTACTTTTAAAGCCCAAACTAATAGTGTATTCTGGGGAAACAAACTTTCCAGCTTGTAGTGACAACAGCTGTCGCTGGAAAAAAAACAAGGCATCTATTCTACATCTGTGACAAAATTGATGGATATATATTTTTAGTTGACACAGGATCAGAAGTCAGCATCATACTACCAAAACAAGGATGACAGTTAATACCTATATCATATAAATTACAGACAGCAAATGGGTCCAAGGTTGAAACATACGGCAAGAAACTCCTCACTTTAGATTTTTGATTACTCTGTGCTTTCTCCTGGATTTTTACTCAAACCAATGTCAACACACTGATGCCAGTTGCAGATTTTCTAGCCACTTTTGACATATCTGTGAAGATGGCCAATCAAACACACAGATAATGTAATAAAACTTCACTTCAAGGAAGTCAGTCTCCATACATTTCTACTGGAATTGGTTCAGTTTTACCTGAGAAGGAAACATACTGAAAGCTTCTTAAGAAATTTCCAGATATCATAACTCCTTTTCAAAATACACTGACAAAGTGTATCACTCTGCAAAGCACAATATAAAGACCACCAGCCAACCAATCTATTCTACCCCATGGAAACTGGGTCCTGAGAAATATAAAATTTGCTAAGGCAGAATTCCAACTCAGTATAATACATCTATCCAAAAGCCCATGGTCATCATCACAAGGTACTAAAACCAGACATCATTGTCTGGCACCCACGTGATGATTTCCACTATCTTAATGCAGCCAGTACAGCAGATAGGTATACGATGCTGCACATCTATGATTTGACCATGAGCTTACAAGGGAAACAAATTTTTAC